TGTTATTAGATGCCTTTCCTGAGATTTTTTTTTTTTCATGCAGGAAAACATTCTCCTTTATTTCCTGACAGCACTTTAGCTCCAGCCTGGCAAGATTTATAGATTCTTATTTTAAAACAATAAGCCCTAGGGGCACCTGGGTGGCTCAGTCGGTTGAGCGTCCGACTTCGGCTCAGGTCATGATCTTGTCCGTGAATTGAAAGCCCCGCGTCAGGCTCTGTGCAGACAGCTCAGAGCCTGGAGCCTGTTTCAGTTTCTGTGTCTCCCTCTCTCTCTGCCCCTCCCCTGCTCATGCTCTGTCTGTCTCTCTGTATCAGAAATAAATAAACGTTAAAAAAAAATTTAAAAACAATAAGCCTTTCTGATATTTTATATAGATTTGTTAGTGAGGAGGTTGGATTGGAGGAAACATTTTGGGGTCAATATGGTGAAGTTGCTAACACATTATTTTCTCATCTTGCTTGCACTCATTCCCTTTTTCTTTTAAAAGATTTTTTTTTTCAATTTTATTCTGAGACGGGGAGAGAGAGAGAGAGAAAGCCAAAGCAAGGTGTATGGGGCAGAAAGAGAATCCCAAGCAAGCTTCTACGCACGGCAAGAGAGCCCGACGGGGCTTGATCTCACTGCAATTAAGAGATCATGACCTGATTGGACAAGATTTGGATGCTTAACTGACTGAGCCACCCAGCTTCCATTGAAGATTTATTCTGGCATGCCCCACAACTGAGCCAGTGGGTGCCCCATCATTCCCCTTTCCGCTGTCCCTATTACACACTGTGATTGCTGGAGTGCCAGTTCTGAGCTAGGTGCCAAGGTGGGGTATGGAACTCGTCCCCTGTTAGGCTTCCTGTTGGGAGGAGACATAATAAACAATGTAACTGAGCATAAGCCACAAGGAGATGTGAGCGACCGTGTTGAGAGCAGAATTTCTCGACCTATTAAGATTTGGGGCAGAAAATTCTGTCGTGGGTACTGTCCTGTGTATTTTAGGATATTTAGCAGTATCTGTGTCCTCTAACCCCTAGATCCCCCACGCTCCGTAAAACAACCAAAAATTTCCCTAAACGTTGCCAGAGGCCCTGGGGGTAGGGGTGGCAAACAAAAATTGCCCCCACGGGACAACCGCTTTGGACATATGAGGTGCTGCATATGCATTTACTACTTCAGGATTTCCACCTTTTAGTAACTTGTCCTTTGGTACTTTTATTCACAGCCATGGATTGCAAAGACAGACCAGCTTTTCCAGTCAAGAAGTTAATACAAGGTAGCTTTCTGGGAAGGGGTTCTATACTGTTCACAATTTGTATCGTTCACGGTCTCCTCAGTTGTGTTTTACTTTTCCTCCGAGCAGAAGCCTTCTGTTGGGGTCGTCGGCAGGACCATCAAGGGGCCCGTGGGGGGCGTGGGAGGTAAACACTCAAAATTCAACTGAACCATTTTGCTGCACTCACTGATTTCTTAGATTTCCAGGAGCAAATCCAGTGGTCACTGACTTTTGTAAGGTTTCTCTACTTCAGCTCTGTTGACATTCTGTCCTGTATATCGTAGAGTTTAGCGGTGTCCCTGGTCACTTTGCCCATGTCATGACAACCAGTGACGTCTCCAGACTTCCCCAGACATTCCCGACAGGCACACCTTCCCCTGGTTGAACCACTGTACAGGAAGATAAATGCGTCCAAGTCCTTCTGTGTGAGAAGGGTAGTATATCTGCTCTCAGGGCAGACCGGACCGTATACAAGACCGTGGTTTCTGGTTTTTTGAAACTCGGTATCTGGTTCCCTGTAGCAGCTTCCCTCCTCCTGTGGGGACAGATAGCAAGTTTGGTGTTGAGGGGAGTCACGTTAAGGGCAGCAGTGTCGGAGGTGAAAGGATTAGGGGCAGGGGCCAACTGGGGCACCTGAGGACAGGAGTGTTTTCTAGAGAAATCCCCCCCAGCCCCGCCTCGAGCCCAGCAAGGCTGATACTTGCTGAGTACGTGGAATATTAGAATACAGATGAGCTGTTGCTCTCCCCACTTCCCTGTAAAGACGCCCCCCCCCCCAGCCTGTTTCGCCCTGCCCTTCAAGCTTGAACCTTGTCCCAAAGGAGAAAGTGAGGACGCTGATGACACGAGGGAGCCCTGAGGGTGCCCTGCACAAGGCCCAGTCCCTCATCTGAGACCCTCTTGGACAACGGAGAACAGCTGTCATATGGGTTCTGACATAGATTTTAATCCAAAACTTGTCAATGGAAGGGTCCCTTAGATAACTTTTTTTAAGAAGTACAGTCAAAACCAGTATTGACCAGACCACGGTCATCACCGATTTGACAGGAGGACTCGAGTGACCAGCTAGATGGCGTGCCATGCCTAAATTCAGTTCGCTGCCTCCTCCCTCTCCGAGGGAGGCCGTGAGTGGGGCCGGAGAAGAAGCTGGAGGTGAGAGGGGGCTGCCGGAGGCTGTCTGAAGGACGAGCTGACGGTTCCTGAAGACCAGACATTCTGGCAAAGTGAGTGAGGGTGCTGGCTCCAGAGGTGCAGAGGAGTGAGAGAGGGCAGGAAGCCTGCCTCCAGAGCTGCCCAGGCTGGCAGGCAGGTCTGAGAACATGCCCGGTGAAGGACCAGGACGGGTAAGCTGGAGGGAAATAGGCATCCTGTTCAAAGGGAAGTGCCCGTGGTGGTCTTGGAGGACATACTGGCTGTAAACTCCCGAACCAAGTCTCCACACCTGCAGACTGGCTTGCCCTGACAGCCAGATGCTGGAGTCCCGCCCCGAAGACTTCTGTTTGGCCACTGCCCTCCGGGGTTCTTCCTCTCCTACCAGCTCACCCGAGGGGCAGTCTGCTCCCAAAGGCATCCCAGCAGTCCGACCCTTTCCCCACCTCCACACCCATCCAGAGGTATCTGCTCAGTGCCAGTGTGGCAGTGTGGCCTGGGACAGGAGCCTGGGACCGTTTGTCATCTGTGCTTGGTGGGGCTACAGGCCGCAAACCGCGAATTTTCTTTGATATTCAGAACTATTAGAAATTGGGTGGCTCTGTTAGCCCCCAGTGTCAAGTGCCATCTTGGTAGACGCGTGGTTGTTCACGCCTAATGAATGCTGCTGGCAACTCAGCAGTTTTAGTAATGAACGGTTGTCAGCAGGCAACCATGAGTCTCCTCAGTGGCAATGTGAGTTCTCCATTTCTTCTTCCTGTTCCGAGCCCGTAAGGGTCTTGATGGTAAAAGTCAGCGTTGTTGGTGGGAGGCCCCAGGCCACAGGAAGATAAACTGGGGATTCTGTAGGGTCAGCCCGGCCCCTCAGCCATCTGAACCCTCCCCCCAGAGCAGCAAGAACAAAGAAAACTCACTTTGTTTTTTTAGGCCCACAGAAGGATGGCCTCATTCTGAAATGCTTGTTGGTGTCCCCGCTTTGCGATGAGCATGATGATGGCTGTCTCTGTTCTCATCTGCCCATAGGGTCTTGGGGTTGAAACTGGTAATATCAGTCAAAGAATCCAGAGGTGTGTTTAACGGTGTTTTGTTTTGGGTTTTGGGGTTTTTTGTGTTTTTTTTTTGTTTTTGTTTTTTGTATTGGTAGAATTTTTGTTTACTTTAGGTTTTTGTTTTGTTTGTTTTAAGTAAGCTCTATGTCCAGCGTGAGTCACCCATCCCAAGGAGGCTCTGTGAGCACTATTAGTGTGAGCTCATTTGAGTGTTTTTGGGGCTCGATCCCATCAACCTAGATCGTGACCTGAGTTAAAATTAACTAACTGAGCCAGGCTTCCCCGCCCCCACTGCTTGTTTGTTTGTTTGTTTGTTTAATGTGTAAATTAGATCCTGGTTGGCTCTCTCTGCCCCTCCCCTGCTCATGCTCTGTCTGTCTCTCTGTATCAGAAATAAATAAACGTTAAAAAAAAAATTTAAAAAACAATAAGCCCTTTTCTGATTTTATAGATTTGGTAGTGAGGAGGGGTTGGATTGGAGGAAAACATTTTGGGGTCATTAATGGTGAAGTTGCTAACACATTATTTTCTCTCATCTTTGCTTGCACTCATTCCTTTTTTCTTTTTTTAAAGATTTTTTTTTTCAATTTTATTCTGAGA